AACTTCAGCTAAAGTAGACTTTGGTGGAAAGAAAGTGATTTCCACAAAGTCGCAGGGTGAGTTTCCATGGTTGAAGATGGACCTCACCTCGAGCAAACACACCACATGGAATGCATTATTTTGAGATGGCAAGACTATGGATTAATCATTCAGCATCAGATCTGTTCCCACTCCTAATCCAACAATGTAAATTACTTTAAATTTAAATTGTGAGCAGTTTTGAGTTCTCCTTCCTGGTGCTATCATTGAGTATGAGATAACTGGATGAGAATCTGGAGTTGTGTATGAACTCTACCCAGCCTGCTTTTTTCCCCCTAAGGGCAAGGCTACCCAGGTTCCTTAGCTGCTTCTCATCACTGCCACTTCCATGTTGACATTGTTGCATAAAACCTAAATCTGTTTTATCAAACCCTTTGACATGTTTAACTGCAGTGAGAAGCAAGTATGTTTTCTGAATATTGAATATTGTCATATTAGCTCTTATATCTTTGGTTTCTGGCAAAAAAGATCCATTGAGAAAGCTGGATTTACTTAACAACTACATGCTTCACTTAATGTCCTCAGTGATTCAGCTAACCATCATAAAATGGTTGTAAAATCAGATCCAGTCACATTCTGACTTGACTTATGACCACAGTGAGTTATGATGGAAATTCCAGTCCCAAGTATGGTAGTAAGTCGAGTATTACCTGTATGCCAAATTGAGCATTGTTATCAGTTACATACTTTGGTTTTAAAAAATGTCAAGAAAGATAATTGTCAGGTCTATGCTTGTATCCTCCAATAAATGCTTAACAAACTGGATACATCGAGCAGGAATGCATTTCACAGGAACACTTGTATTTAAAATTCGACTTCCATAAGATGATCCAACATTTCATGCAGAAGAAAGTTCCACATTTGTAAAGAGGACAAAATATGAGTAGGAATTGGTGCTTTCCTAACCCATCCACTGTTTCATGTACAGGACATGCATTTTATATAAATTAGCATTATCCATGACATAATTGGGTGATTCAGGTGAGCAGCACAAAACGTTGTTGTTAGCCCCTTTATCAGCATAAATATGTGATTAATTAAACTTTAAAGCTGCAAATCTGTACTCACTTACCTGTAAGCAAATGCCAGTGAATTCAATGTGGAATATTTCCAAAGAAATATGCATAAGATTGTGAAGCAAATTGATTTCTTTAAAGTTGAACATTGCAATAGAATAGAGAGCCAGTTTGTTCTAGCTTAAGGCACCAGACTAGAAAAGCAAGAGACCGTGAGTTCTAGTTTCATCTTAGCCATGAAAGGCAGCTGGGTGACCTTGGGCCAATCACTCTCTCTCAGCCCAACTCACCTCACAGGTTTGGTGTTGTGAAGAAAATAGGTGTGTTGGATATATTTGCTGCCTTGAATTATTTGTAAAAATAATAAAGGCGGAATATAAATAAATAAATAAATAAATAAATATGTCTTGGCTTATCAATAGAATTGTTCAAATAAAAATCAGATACAGTACCAATGCTTAGATTTTTAGTTGTATTATGTAAAATCTGCAGCAGTTTGTTCAGTTCTAAAACATAATTTATTTTAAAGTGATTGAACCAAATTACAATTATCAAAGGATTTTGGAGGAATTGCTTTATTTGTTGGAAATGAACTAAAGTAATAGTCACCTATAAGAGACAGAGTTATTCAAAGCTGTATAGTTCTTTTAAAAAATCCAGCCACTAAGGCAATGATGTATCACTTTTACTTTCATTATATGTTTTTAATCAGAGCGAGACTTCAGTAGACAAAGCGATGCTTTCTGCATGATCTCACTTGTTTTTGCTAAAATCCTTTGACATGATTAATTTTACTTTAATGCTTTTGTCTTGTTGTACTTGTTAAAATGATAAGGATGAACTGGGGCTAAAACCCTTGCTTTTTTACCCTGCTATCAATTAACATTTTAAAAAAGCCAATTAGATGAGAGAAAAAGAAAAAAAAATGGAATTAAATTGCTGTCCAAATATCAGGATCTGTTCTATTAAAAAAGAATATAATTATTTGTTATTAATTTTATTACTGATGTATCTTTTATAATATCATCTTTCTCATGTTATTACTTGCAACAAGAGAGACTGGATTTTATATCTAGATGAACTAAATGTACTACAAGTTGGGTTGGTTGGAATGGAATTTCTGAATACTGATCTTTGCACTGGTATAACTGATGCACTGATGTTCTGTGATTTTGTTAAAAAGGGAGACTATTACATAATTTTTTTTACATAAGCAGATAAATAAATATTTTTTAGGAATGCTGGAATGCTTAAGTCTTAAGTGGTAAGGATCATCTTAGATTGTCATTCCTATTAATTTCATGCTATATGGAATGCAATATGAACGTCATGTTTTATGAAACTTGCAAATTATTACATGGTCAGGTTGTGACATAAATTATAAAAAAATATTCAGATTAGTGGCTAAAATATAGTCTAATATATTAAATAAAACTCTCCAGCTTTCTGTTAAAAATATATATTAAGAATGTAGGGACTTTTGAAGGATTGTTTCAACTGAACACAGCTTCAGTCAAACTCTTCTTTTGAAGCCAAGGGCTAAATTAAACTCCTTTTTGAAATTCTGGGTTAGATCCACATGGCAAAAGGGATTCTGAACATACTTGATATTTTATGCATTAGATTGGAAGGAAACTGGAACCCTGCGTAGCTCGCACAGCACTGGTTTTACAAAGGTAAATCTAGGGGCATCATCACTACATGTGCCACCACATTTTGATCAGTTGTCATTTCTGGATGGTTTCAGGGATAGCCCCTTGTAGAATGCATAATTCAAACGAGATTTGGAGATAACCAAGGCATTAGTGATGGTGAGCAAGACCTCCCAGTGCAGGTAAGGCTTTCATTGATGCCTTAGAGTAGGGGTGTCAAACTCAAGTACTGTCCTTGATTCAGAAGGTTATAAAAGGGAGGAAAAGTAAAATATTTCCCTTTTCAGGCTTGCAGGATTCTGCTACTAGCCTATGTCTTGTAAACCACTGCATTCAGATTTTCTTGACCTCATCATCAATCAGGATATAATAGCCTATGTCAATAATTTATAGTTCTAGTCTTCCTATGGAGTCAGTTTCTTGATCTGGTCTCTCTTTCATAACGTGATCAAGTAAGTATTAAACAATCAAAATCACAAAAATGTACACCTCCCTATTTTTATAAGTTTATAAAATGTCTGCGGAGGTGCGGTTCTGTGTCACACCCACCAAATAGTCCAGTGTCTCTCAGTGTCGGTTAGCTTACGAGAGGTGTAAGTACAGGGTTGTAATTTTCCCTGAGCATTTGCTTGAAGCAGTACCGCCCCCACTGCAACATCAGTAGCATCAGCTTGGACCACAAAAGGTGTGTCCATGTCTGGGTGTTTGAGGACTGGTTCCTCAGCGAACAGACGTTTCAATTTCTCAAAAGCAGCCTGACATTCCATAGTCCAGTTTAAAGGCTTGCTAGGTTTGGGCTTTGCCCCGCCTTTCGACTTCAGGAGGTTTGTAATTGACAGAGCGATCTTCGCAAAAGAAGGAATAAATTGACGATAGAAGTTGGCAAACCCCAAGAAGCTCTGTAACTGTTTATGTGTGCGTGGGGCTTCCCATTCGGTGACTGCT